AACCCCCGCTCCGTGGGCTCCTCTCCCCCCAGATCCGCAGGTCCTGCCAGGAGCCTGCTCCAGCGCAGGGTTCCCATGGGGTCACAGCCTCCTTTGGGAACCCACCTGCTCCGGCGTGGGGACCTCCACGGGCTGCAGGTGGATATCTGCCCCACCATGGACCTCCCTGGACTGCAGGGGGACAGCCTGCCTCACCAGGGTCTTCACCACGGGCTGCAGGGGAATCTTCGCTCCGGCGCCTGGAGCATCTCCTCCCCCTCCTTCTGCACTGACCTTGGTGTCCGCAGGCTTGTTTCTCTTACATGTTCTCACTCCTCTCTCTGGTGGCTGTTTTCCAAGTCCCAACTTTTTTTTCCTTCTTAAAAATGTTATCACAGAGGCGTTACCACTATCACTGATTGGCTCGGCCTTGGCCGGCGGCGGGTCCATCTTAGAGCCAGCTGGTATGGGCTCGCTCTCTCTCGAACACAGGGGAAGCTTCCAGCAGCTTCTTACAGGAGTCACCCCTGTACCCCCCCCCCGCTACCAAAACCTTGCCACATAAAACCAATACATCTATTAACACAGACCATGTCAAAACATATGTACTTTTATTCACGTAATTTTTGGGACTGCCATAGTTCTACAGCCAATTAAATATTATATCCAATCCTGTTAGGGCTGCATAAATACCTATTGAGTTTTCTGATTATTCATTCCATGAAAAAGAAATAGAAAAATTCTCCTCTTAAAATACTGTTTAATCAATGCAACGTGTAAGTTAAAATGAATTGTGTGTAAGATAGGTTATACACACATGTACATATATAAATATGCAGATCTCTGAGTGTTTAAACAACCTCCTGGTGTTTTTATTTTTAATATCCTTTTTCACCTCCCCCAAACAGCCATCTCCTAAACCAAAACAAAACACGATTCCTCAAACTAGTTTCTCCAACTCTGAACTTTTGAAGTCTTACTTTAATAGATTAGTGAATTTTTCAACAGGACTTACATGCTTAAGCCTAAAAGCTTCCAGAAAGTTTAGAATAGCATTCAGTTAAAACTAAGTCACATAACTCTGTAGACAGACAGTATCTCCCCAAAAGATTACAGAAAACTTTAATTATCATCTTCTGATAAAGTTACCAGAGCAGAGGCTAATAAAAACAAAATTCAGCCTTCAATTTACTGCAGTTCCAACCCTACAGAGTATCACTCCCCTTCCATCACTAAAACAATAATACCAAAGATACTTATTTAAATATTCAGCAGTAAAAAAATCTAATCCCACTTTACAAGTGATTTGCTTTTAAGCCTCCAAATTAATGCCAAGTTTATGGCAAAGAGCAAGTTTTCAGTTCCTGCAATATTTTATGTTTCCCTTTGGCAACCTAAGCAGAACTAAACAAGTCTTTTCACCTGATTCCCAACATTTTTACTATCTTATAAAGGATATTATGCAGTATTTTGTAAAAGTTAATATGTTACTCCTCCTTTCACATTTCCTGAGATGCCCAGAACAGTTATATGACAGGGACCAATCCACATGGTAAAATTGCATCATGAAAAGATGTAGAGAGAAAGTTACCTAAATTCTTTGTATTAAATTTAAGGTGCTGTATGAATATTAGAAAACATTTTATGCTCAGCATACAAGAAAATGAGTCTGGCATTCCCTTTCCCCTTCTATTAAAAAACATTGTATATTTAGTTATATTTTTTGATATATTATGTACATTTTTAGTTTATTGATCTCATGCTTTGGATTTTCTTTAGTTATCTACGGCTTGGTATAGAGAGACCAACAGAGACAGCAATGCTTCTAAGCCTTACTGGTGTTCGTTCTATAATAGCCAACCAGTGGTACACTACCTTGCAAGAGAATGCAGAAAGGCTAGAAATTTTGTCTGAGAGTAAGTATTTATCTTTGTTTACACGTATATTATTTCAGGCATTTGTATGTATGCACTCATGGAGTGTGTATATCTACTTGTCTCCCGTTTCTCTTTCTTTGCTCCTCACCAGATTTTGCCTGGAGTTTCCATAGAAGGTAAACTGCATGCAAGAACCACTGTGTTGTTGACAGGTGGTTCTTTCAAACAGAACAGTAACCTACTTAAATTAGTTTTAGTGGGGGGTCTGTTTATGGTCATATGGTAAGAAGAGGATTTCTATGGTGAGGAGCAGTGGCCTAGGACTTGGCAATCTGTAGTTACATAAACTATGGGGAAAGCAAAAGCTGGAGATAACTCACATCTTCAGAGATACAAAACTAAACCTGTAAAGGTATCCTTTTTCATTAAGTTTTAAATGTGAAGACACCAGGCTGTATGGTTAACATTTCTTGTTTTTCAAAATTTTCATTAAAAACTCACAGAAAGTAACATTTCTTTCCAGATTTGTTGAGCATTGGAAGAACAACTGGGCAGACAGTCCATATTCTTCAAAAGAATAAGATTCACAGGGAAAGGGATTCTATTAAAAGTAAGAATTAAAAAGCTTAGTATGAAAGACTGGCAGTGCATGTTAACTAGAACCTGGTAGACCTATGGGTAGTTCACAGGTATAAGTGAAATCTTTTGGATGAGCTACGACAAATTTTTGTGACACTTCTTAAAAGAATTGAGAGTGGGAAGACCACTGATCCAATATTATAATTGGAGTACCTGTATTTTAAATATATAAAATTTTGGGGAGTCTTCGTCATAGCTGACCAAAAGCTAAAAGTTACGCTCCACTGAACTGTTGTAAAATGAAGTAGTGTGACTGAAAAGTTACATCAGGAACATGACATGAACAATAGAAATGGTATGTATTATAGACTGCAAAAACATAAGTTGAACATGCAGTGATTAGACAGTCTGTATTGTAAAGGGCACACTATATATGTGAAATTCAACCTAGCATCTTGTTGGAGAGGGGAGAAGGATTTTTGAGTAAAACAACTTTTAATATACTGTTTATAAAATTACATAGGTATTTTTCATTGTATGGGAATTACCTCTTAAAACAATGGTAAAAAAATAAATTTTAATTATAACTTACACTGACATAGAACTGAAGAGTGAGAGAGAGTTCAGATCAGAAATGTTGCCTAGATTTCTGTCTTTTTCAGAAAATGCTTCTTGAATATAGTGGCAGTTATTAATATTATAAAAAGAATGTAAAGGAACCACAAATATTAATCAAAGAGAAGATGCGATAAATTACTGCACTTAAAGCATTTTTATATTAACAATATGCAATTACATTAACATGATGTAATAATGTTTTAAAAATATTTTTATAGTGGAAGCGGATGCTCACAGCTCTCCTAGAGACAAAGCAGAAGAACAGACCATTCACACTTTCTCAAATCTTCCTGCAACTCATCCATCATTTTTTAATTGTGTGCTATATGGTTTACCCAACATAATTATTATGTAATTTGTGTCAGACTTTTTGTACTAAGAATACCACTACACTGTGCGTAGGGCACACTTTGCATTTAAAGGTGTGGCAGATAATATGGCCTAAGGAGAGATGAGCTTAAGAAAATGTATGTTTTGCTGATAGACTGATTTCTGTTTCAGATGTAAACAGTTTGATTTAGAATAAGTGTCAGGAAAATATCAAAGAACATTTATTTTAGAGGTTTCAGTTAGTACTCTAAGGTTTTCTGAACTTGGTGAATCCCATAAAAGAATTTGGTGAGTACCAACACATCTTAAAGGAAATTAGGCTAGTATTTTTGGGCATTGATGCATGAGTGGAATTGGAATGTATCATTGTCAGTACTTCCATTTGGAAAAACTTTTCCTTGATGTATTTTATTTTTACATGGAAGATTTATCAGGAGAACAACTGAAAAATTTACCAAGTCACCTTATTTTGAGTGAAATTATTTTAAATTTTTATATAGCGGTAGTTGTAGTTTTAATTTGGAAAAAAGGTAGTATTACATAAAATGTTTAATAAGTTTTGCTTTCTTTATTTCCCTATAGTTTTTCTGAATAACATGTGAAGATATATTAAATTATTCCAAAATCCCAAATAAGATTATTACGTGTATAGATTTTGTCACATGCTGTTAATCAGCAATGCATTTTTAAAATACATACTTTAAAACTTTATTTGTAGTGATAACAGTAGAAATAAATGTAAAATAATTTAGCACTTATGGAAAATACAAACCTTTGATCATTATTGCAACTAAAACCATTTTAAGACTCTCTTTCTTTTTTTCCAGTAAAAAGGTGATGTCTGTTTCCTGTGATACATTTTTTTGTGTTCCTGATAGAGCATTAAAATGGCACTGAAAAGATACTGTTCTTGGCTACCTACCATGCTATAGTTAATTAGAACCTGGTAAGAGTTATAGGGCTATACAGACCATAATTACAAAATCATGACATGTAAAATACTTTTTTTATGCACACAATAGAATATAAATTTGTGCTTCCTTCCCCCTTGCTCTCACAATTTAATTAGACGACCTTATATGAACTGCAGCTGCTCTGCCAAACTGCATTCCATAACATGCATGATTTTTATTCCCTTTATACATAATTTTCTTCTTCATTTAGACACCGGACATATATTTTTTATGGCATGTATCTGGGCTTTTGGTAACAATACAAATTAAGTAACGAAGAGATCATAGACTGTACTTAAGTTATCCAGCCTGAAAATTAAGGATTCAGTGTAAGGTATTTTCAAGTCTCTGAACTTGCCATGTTTCATCAGATACTGGCATGAGTCCCTTTCCCCAAGTTCTTGCATTTATTTATTTGTTTATTTTTAGGTCTTACCAGGTACCTTTTCATTGCATCACTATTACGCAGCTGCTTTTTTAAAATCCCATGCATGGTATTTGGGAAGCTCAAGTATTTCTCAGTTTGAAGAAGCAATTTCCCTTGAATGAAGCAAATGTCCACTATATTGTTAATTTATTTATTTCGTAGATTAATTTCCACATCGTTCTCCCACACATCCATTGTTATGAAATTGTATTTCCCTGCTGTTAATGGCTTTCTTCCACCTGGAATGCCATCTTTCTAGTGCTGTCTTTTTTTCTGTAACATAAAAGGCTATGAAAAATAGTGTATTCAATGGGAGTCATGAAGCCTTCTCTGCCCTGCTACATGACAGTGTTCATGAATTTGTATTAACTTCCACTTTCTTGAGATAAGAAATTTCATAAATAGTAAAGTCCAGAAAAGTTTTGATGCTTCAGAAATGACAGTGTTGTTCTGTGAGAATAATCCAGGGTAGAAACTGCAAGATTGCAAAGGTTAGAAAAACCATTGATGTCCAGGTACAATGGGCTTATTCAATAATTTACTACTATGGTTTTATTTATGAAACTGATGGAAATAACTTAATCTACCAAAGTGGCTTTTCTCCCAAAATATTCCCATTTGTATTTGATACTTTAGCTCTAACTACATTGCAACAACCTCTGTCAGAAAGATGAATGAGTATGACCAAAAATTTCTTTACAGTCTGACAGCACTACTTTATCAGAAAGCATTGATAAAGAGTAATGGCCTTATCCAGGAAACTTCAGACATGTAAGCTTTACTTGTTGAGAGTAAGATATTTGAAATACTAATCAGAGAAGCTGTGGCAGAATACCTACAAGTGGGCAATGTATGCTGGGTAAGTACAGTAAAAGTGGATGGCATGCATAATTACATAATATGTCTGATTGGCATTTCTGAGGCATTAAAAAATAATTGAGTTACGGCCACGAAGTGTAGTCATAACCAAATTGCCTGGGGTATTAGGAGAGTATTCTCTGTATTACAGTGCTAAATACCAGTCAGTAAAATCATTAATAGTAGTAGGACTACATGAGTAGATGATAAACTGGACTTCAGGTGACAGTGGATATGCATTCAGTGACATATGAAGACATCTAATTCATTCCTTCAGGGATTAATACTGGAAATAATATCTTCTTTTCCATTATATGTTTGTAGCAACATGCAGTGACATGATTGTACAAAAGTAAAGAGTCACTTCAGGAAAAGATATATAGTAGAATTTGGAATGATTTCAAAAGAAAAAGAGCATAGACAAATTAACATATTTTATATTTCTTTTAAATTTACAATGACAATTTAACAAAGAAGAACCTGCTTCGTATGCAGAGGAAGGATTCAGCAGCTCAGCTGATACAGTTTTAGAGTTCAAAATGCTTATCTTTTAAAGACAGTAAATATGAATGGAGCTCAGGAAAGAAAGGTTGAGAAGGAATTCTGTATAAAATTTCTGTTTCAGAACCTGATTTGAATAAGCAACTAAAAGCTTAAAATTTTCTGATAGTCTTCAGATTGTGATTGAAAGTTCAGGCAGAAGGACTCCTCTGTGAGGACAACGTGAGTTTTAATTAGGAAACATAAAAAGACCCCACTTAAATGCACTGTAATATGCCTAACAAGTCTTGGCATTTAAGAAGCTGAATAAGTCCTAAATTTACATCTTTGTCACACACACAAACATTTCCTGCAATTTAGAAGCTTTTGCAGAAATGTAATAGTTCTCACTTAAAAATTTTAGAGTCAGCCAACTCTGTTCCAAGAAATGGGACATGACAGATAGTTTAGGGCATATTCACCAGACCAAATTGAAATGTTTCATTTATTGTTGAATCATTTGACCATCAGCTGAGAATTATAAGGCAGCACCTACTCAGGTGGAGTCTAGAATTAGGGGAGAGAGTGGGAGTGAAAAAAACAAAAGACAAAAAATAGAGAGGTTCTTAGATATCTTCTCTGATGATGGAATGAAAACCATGTCAGGTTTGAAACAGACTGTGCAAAGGTTTGGGTAAACGTCATCTCTGTTCAAGTCAAGGTTCAAAATAACACCCCACCCCCCACAACAAAACAGCAGTGAGGTGCTTTCAAAGCAAATTATCTGGACTAACAATAGCAAGATATCTCCCCCCAGAGTGAGCCAACAGATGGTGGCAATGAAAACAAAAGAAATCTGTGTGCAGCACAGAAGGAGCAAAGAAGTGTACGTTTATCTTGTAGCAGCCTAATATATGAGATCCCCAAGAAGATCCTTGGCTTCAAATTATTTGGAGAACTAAACAGTAGCATAGTCATACAAGGTGCCGTACTGAAGGTCTTCATTCTTTAACACTGAATATGAAATGAGTGGACCAAAATTTCCAGCTGCAGGTACAAAAATGGAATTAAGACTGTTGATTTCATACAAGATTTTGTACAGAAAGAGTACTCCCTAAGAAATGCAATGGAAATAGTAATGATGAAATACTGATGTGATTATTTTAAACTATTCGTTAAGTACATACAAATAGCAAATTCAGAATGGCAAGTCCTAGTATTAAAATTGTATAAATAGAATCATAGAATCACAGAATTGTTTGGGTTGGAAGAGACCTTAGAGATCATCTCGTTCCAACCCCCCTGCCATGGGCAGGGACACCTTCCACTAGACCAGGTTGCTCAAAGCCCCATCCAACCTGGCCTTGAACACTTCCAATGATGGGGCATCCACAACCTCTCTGGGCAACCTGCTCCAGTGCCTCACCAACCCTCACAGTGAAGAACTTCTTCCTTATAATCTAATCTAAATCTATCCTCTTGCAGTTTAAAGCCATTAACCCTTGTCCTGTCACTACAGGCCTTTGTAAATGTCTCTCTGTCTTTCTTGTAAGACCCCCTTCTACATTGAAAGGCCACGATAAGGTCTCCCCAGAGCCTTCTCTTCTCCAGCCTGAACAACCCCAACTCTCTCAGCCTTTCTTCACAGGAGAGGTGCTCCATCCCTCGGACAATTTTTGTGGCCCTCCTCTGGACCTGCTCTAGCAGGTCCGTGTCTTTCTTGTACTGGGGTTCCCAGAGCTGGATGCAGTACTCCAGCTGGGGACTCACCAGAGCAAGAAATTCTTTTTATTATTTTAAGAGAGAAATTATTGTTATTAAATTAAACAGAAAAATTATTTGGAAATATTTTTATTAAATAAAAAATACTTTTCTACTTTTTGGAGGTGAACGCTAGAGAATGCTCTCCATTTATTTGACTGTGAGCTATTAATTTTTAAAATATTATATATTGTTCAGCAACTTGGAGGGAAAAAAAAATCCTGCTAATGACCAAGGAATAAATTACAGTAGATACAGCTTAGGACATATGAGCTCTCTACTAGAAAGACATTGGCACAAGCCCAGACAACAAGAATAAAAGCTTCTGAAAATATTTCATCTACATGGCATCACATCGTTCCTTCGCGCTGTATCCATTCATAAAAGAAATATTAAACAGTTAGTGCTATTCCATGTATCAACGGCTTTAAAATAACTATCTGAATTATGTCTCAGCAACATAACAAATCACATTATCAATTAGCTTTTATAACAGAAATGACATTTCATAATATTTCTGAGCATGAAAAGAATTGGTCAGCTAAAATTTATGTAATCTGAAAAATGTGAGGAGAAAAAAAACCATGGTGAATTTATTGATAATATTCTAGGGCAAGAACATAATTTGAGTAGTAGGTAGCTGTCCAAGAAAAGTGTGTAGTTCTAAATGGTCTGCAGGGAAGAACCGCAGCAAGTTTGCTACAAAATGATAAAACAACAACAAAAAAAGAGCAGCTCTGTCATTAGTCCCTGTTGTAACTGCTCTAAAATTAAACTGCCATAAGCAATCATTCAAGGATTTCTCATCACACATGCTACTCTCTCCAAAGCTAGGATAGCTGGTCCTTCAGTAAGTCTGTCTCCCCACTTTGCAAAGGGATGCGGTAGAGCAGATACCAAAACTTAGCACCTGATGGCTATGGCTATTTGTATGCAGGGAAAAGAGAGCAGATTTGAGATTGTTGCAAAGATACATTCCCATGACTATTTAAGCCCATTTGTCTGAGTTTGAACACTAATTTAATGACTTTACAACCTGCTAAGCCTTCTGACCCCTGCTTTGGCAACCTGTCTGAACTGAAAGCTATCCAGGAAGAGGATGTCAGAGGGGAGCCAACCATCC